CCGTAGTGTGTTGACTCCCTTAGCGTGCATACAGCTCACCTTGCATATATACTAGTGTCCAATTAGTAAGATTGAGTTTTGCCATAGAACTCCGTTACCAAATGCGCCGTCTAATTTCATATGTTAAAAGGAAAGTCAACTGGAAGCTGAGTATCTCCAACTGTTGGACATCACTTTATGATCTGTCTAAAGCCAACGATGTTCACCATATTATCGTCATGTTTCTCTTTTTGGACCACAATCCTTAGCATGTTTTACATAGCCTCCAGTCTTTCATGATTCCCGGATCAGTCCTCTTCAGCATCTTACTTGGATTTCTTTTCCCCACTCCTCTGGCCCTCTTTGTGATAGCTTTTGTAGGCGCTTCTCTTTTAAATGTGATCTTGTAGTGCTCGGCTGTAGGCGCTTCCTGTTGCTACATCTTAGCCGACTTCGTCGGCACTCAAACCGTTGCGAAATTATTCCCAGAACAGATTGTCACTTGTCGGAAGGTGGTATGTTTGGGAATATGCTACTTACTTTTTCTTTAGACTGGTCGGTTCCAGAGCATGTCAGGGTTGGCGATTTTCTTCTTTCGCCTAAGCCCTATTATTCCCAACTGGCTAGTTAATATTTGCTCTCCTGTGCTCGGTATCCCCCTAAGTGGTTTCTTCTGGGGAACATTTTTTGGTAAGTCGATTTTCCTAGACTTTTACAGTTTCATGCAATTTCTGTCATCTTATAAAAATTTACTCTTAAGTGCTGCCCCTTATCAATTAGAAAAATTTCTGTTTTTGTCATTCTTTAGTGGAAAATTTTTAAGGCTGGGTTGGATTCTGCTCATGTATTTCTGTTCTCAACTCCACAACTTTGTTTACCTCTCGTTTTCGCAATTTATCACTGTCGGCCTGTTTTGTGGTCCAGCTTGCCGCCCTTATTGAAATCGGGCGTTTCTTCCTTAAACATTAGAATGTGAAATCTCCGACTTCAAATTTCGGGCAATTATTTTCAGCCCCTCTAAGGGCTGTCTTATTGGGTTTTATAACTGCACGGTAAACTACGTATCAAAAGTAGTCACAAAATCCTTGAATTCTATAGCTCGAGTGAACTGGTCGGCGGAATGTTAATTGTTTTGAAGATTTCCGAGTAATAGTATGCAGTAGGACTGACATACAGTAGATGTGCTAACTCATGAAATGTCCACCGAATTTTCGAAATGCGTTCTCGTTTCGAAAAGATAAATTAAGTAGTGTTGCAAAACTAATCATGATGCAGCATAAATCTATAATGATCCAGTTACGTCAAGGTGTCGGCTTTCGAAAGAACTTATTTTCGGCTGCACGCAAGATCTATACTCTGCAAAAAATGACTACTTAAGTAGTATGCAATTTTCCCATTGATTTTCGATGCCCTTGAAAATTCAATTATATTTCATGGAAAACATGCATAAAAATATTCATTCTTTTACTTATTCGGTAGAACATCACGTCTTCTTCAAAGTTCATACTCAAAAGAAGAGTATAATTCGGTTATAAAAAACTTTTCTAATTCTCGAATAATTTTGAATCCGACATGCTGTTACACTTGCATTCAGGGTTTCAAAACTACAAGCTGTATATCTTCCGTGTACAGAAAACCATGCATTTCTCTACGGTGTTAAGAGGAGACCATATGAGGTTCATAAAAGTAAGCAGTGGATTTGAGCCATATTGTCAACTTTACAAGCCACATTCGTAAATGCAGATACATGACGTTTCATGAACGGCCATTCAACGGTATTAAAAAATCTCACAATTAGAAACTTTTTTAAAACCGAATTATACTCTCCTTTTGAGTATGTAATTGGAAGAAGACGTGATTTTCTACCGAATAAGTAAGAGAATGAATATTTTTATGCATGTTTTCCATGAAATATAATTGAATTTTCAAGGGCATCGAAAATCAATGAGAAAATTGCACACTACTTAAGTAGTCATTTTTTGCAGAGTATAGATCTTGCATGCAGCCGAAAATAAGTTCTTTCGAAAGCCGACACCTTGAGGTAACTGGATCATTATAGAATTATGCTTTATCATTATTAGTTTTACAATACTACTTAATTTACCTTTTCGAAACGAGAACGCATTTTGAAATTTCGGTTGAAATTTCATGAGTTAGCACATCTACTGTACATGGACATCTAAACAGGACACTAGAATAGGAACCGCCCGCAACACGGATGGCTTTGAAATTAGGGTTGGGCGATGCACCTACTTCATGAGGCGCGCTGTCTTTGTGTGTGACGGCCGAACTCTCACAACGCCTATACTCTATGCTCTACGTACTTCCGCTTTGGGCAGTTAAATTAATTTCTGCCCTGTCTAAACTGTTGTGAACGGCTATATATCACCACATCCACACAAATGTCGATGATGTGGTCTTCCGAACTTTTTCCTGCCCCAATGTATCGACGAAAAAAAAGTTAACTCCGTCTTTGACACAATATTCATTAAGCTGGTATGCGTTCTCGTATTTGCACTGCGTATTTAGACCTATTTCCTAAGACCGCCAAATTCTCCGGGCACCTACCTTGTGAATACTTCGCAAAAATGTCTTCCAGTCTCCCCTGCAGTTTCAATAAATTTATGCTTGTTGGCCCATTCAGAATTGTACCCGAAATCACGGTTACTACAATGATTGAAGACGTTTTTGTCGGTACGATAAGTACATCGTGCAACACCGATTTGGATATAGGGTCTCTCATAATTACCCACCAAACCGTTGCTGTTGACTGAGCCCCCCGCATTGTATCCAATATCGATAGTTTTCTCGAGCGTTAAGTCCTCCGTGACGACCGTCAGGTGTATTTTATTCGTGGACAGCAACCAACCGTGGAAGCATTATCCTTGAAAACTGAACCCATCTTATCTGCTGAGTCTTTCAGTCTACCTCTAGGAAAATGATTTCGTGAAAGTGTTGTCTCTGATAAATTTGCGCCGTTTTTGACTCAATGTCGTATTGCGTCATCAGGAGCGGCCGTTTTTGTCTGCTTATTCAGGACGCCCTTGTCTTTCTGTACACGTGTTCCCCCTTTGTTTAGGTTTTTGCACTCAAACAAGGAGCTTTGCGCATTTGTCTAAATACAGTCTAAACAAACTGTGACGTAAGATTCCATTCAGAACTTTTCAGACAAAAGCCTTAAAATGCCAAGACAGTTGAAGCTTTTGCCATTTATAGTCTGCGTTTAAGCTAATTGTGTCCTCCTGAACTGGTCCCTGTTGTAAGGCCTTCTTCTTTCTACTTTGCTTTATATGAAATTTGTGATCCTTTATAACTACCATATCAGCAACTTTTGCCTTCGCAAGAAATCAAGTGGAGCGGCGTGCACGACATAAATGAAATTGTGGTCATTTTGAAGCTCCTGGTGATCTAGATGTGTAGTGGAGACCTTCGTGTCGACGGCATATGGAATTAGCGTGGTGTTGGGAAGGGTCAAACTCCACGTGGAGGTGGTTGCCTTTTCACCGAAATTTCTTGTTGGTTTACTGGTCGGGTGTTTGCAATAAGTTGGAGTTTTGGGGCATCACATGTAGGCACTAAAGACATTCCGGAGGGCTGTCCAGTCTGCCGAATTTTACGCGAATGTTGCCTTTTTTAATTTCACTACTGTATGACAATCCGTGTCATGACGTCTCACGTGTCGTGTATGAGACTGATTGGGTCTGATTTGTTTAGCTTGATGGTGGAAAACATGATGCCACCATCGCTAGCTGGCAGTCACAGTTTGAACCTTACTTTCCTGAAAATTTTCTTAATTGATTTGAATTGGATGCTGGACGGTAGGGTTTTGTTGCAGTCGCCCTTCACTCGAGGATCTCTATATGCCTAAATACCGAAAGTGCACTTCGGTCCACAAATAAAGTAAGAGGGCACCTGTTGCAATAATTGTGAGGTGGATCAAAAAATTCCGCAAACCGTTTTGCAATGCATCAAATGGTCATCCAAGAATGTTATTCATTGACTTTAGTCAGTCGTAATAGTTCGATGGTAGTTTCTGACTGATCTCCGAGGGAAATAATTTTTCTGGTACCATTGTCAACACAACTTCGTCCTATCTAAACGTTATGCTCGACTCTTGTGCTTGCCCGACGACCCTAACTAAGCGTGGTATTACTGATTCCCAGTTAACATATGGTTCGCCAACCGAACGATTCATGCTAGTCTTTACCGTGCTTTTTTGTGACCCCTCTGCGGCAGTCTCAATCATGCTTGAGTCAGGAAACCATAGCTTCTTGCATTGTTTTTGGAAATTTGGATTTCAGAGTGTTGTTTCACTCAGCTGGCTGAGTCCTTAAGGTTATGATGCGAATTGTGACCATGTTTCCTCCCGGCCCCCTGACCCGATTGAATGCAAGTGTCCAACTGTGTCCGATGCTCTCTAACAAGTGTCAGTGAGGTCCACCTGTCCTTAGCAAGCCCTTAGTCTTCTGATCAGTAGGCGCCAGCGATAAATTCCAATCGTGTAACAGAAGCCCTCACTGCTATATGCATTTCGGTCCGTCACTATCGCCTGTAAGTGAACTAGAAGGACATTATTGACATGTAGCGGTAGGTCATATGTTTCACGCCGGTCTTTGTCTTCTGCGCCTAAAATTTTAGCGTAAGCGCTAGCGAAAAAGGTGCCAGTGATCGGTCCCTTAATCGAATGTGGTTATTCGAACCATGCCCCTACAACGGGCTACATAGTTGATGCACTGGACCAGCGTGACAGGCACACCTATGCCAAATGCACGTCTGGCGGTACGTCTAGACCCAGGCTCACGCACGCCACACCAGCCACCTACGCCCGATCCCGCCTTCGGTCATCTTGACTCTGTCGTGACACCAGACTATGGAGAGGAAGTGCGGCAGATGCTTCTCAAGCCTAATGTCACTGTAAACTAATTAACACGCGAGTTACTCCGCGCCCATCTTGCTGTGGGGCACACGTTGGACATCGTTAGAGTCGATGGCGGAACTGCCATTCGGACCAAAGATGGGATCCAAAGCTGTGACTGGTGTTAGCACCTTGACACCTGCAGTTGATAGAGAAGGCGCCAGGATATCCGTATTGGCTTCGTAGTCTTCACGAGGCTGGTGGTTATTTAAGAAAGCCTACATTTCGGCGACCAAATCACGTCGGTCGTGTAATAATTAATCGTGTGGATCGTCATGGACAGTATGCGTATTTTATTGGGACGCATACGCTTTCGCAAGTTATATACGGCTTTCGTCAACGAAGAATATTTGTTCTAATACCTGACGCCTGGCCCACTGGTGGACACCAGCTGAAGTTGTTGCTCCTTTCTCGACTTTCTACATTCACGTCTACACTTGTGCGCCATTCATTTGTTTTACCTTTGTTCGTAACTTCACAAGGACTTTTCTTTGAATCGTCTAAGGTGTGGTTCCTCTGTCGTTGTTCTTCGTGAAGGCCGGCACAATTCTGCAAGAGCTTACGGACATTGGTGTTACCTCCATCGCCTCCGTCTACACGCTCGCCCTCTTCGCCCTTATCTCCTTTCTCCCATTTGCGTTCACCAGGCAAATTCGCGACAAACTTAAGTCATAGTCCTCATCTATTCACAATCTCATTTTGTGGATACTTTTTGTTCGAGAGTTTGCAGGCGGCCGCGCCAGTTGGCTCCATTCCACCGTTAACCGCACCGATTGCTCTAATCCGTGGCATTAACTTTGAAATCACTCTCATAAATACCATTTGATTTGTGCCTTGAGGTAGTTTTTCTGTAACTTTCATTCCACTTACTGATGTCGAAATCAGTATTCCACGCCATCTCTGCACGCTGGGATTTATTACAACGATTTTCCTCTCAACCATGTATAAGTGACGTCTGTGTGTTTGTTCGCACATACTCGGACGTTCCCATTAAAGACGATAGTCCATTGGACAGCATCAGGCGCCGCCAAATCTCGATGTTCGCCGTCTTTCGAAATATATTTAGGTAATGTATTTTATTATTCCTACCCAACTTCCCCTTGCGTGTGATGGCCAAGCAATTTGAAAGGTATCAATAAAGATGAGACCTTTTGGTACGATTTTGTTTTATGCGTATGGACAACTGGCCTCTAGCGTGGGCGCGTTTCACCGATCTACCGAAAGTCGTGCCACCGTAGGAAAAAGCATGGAATCAGTTGGATAAATATAATGTGACGAAGTGGAATTGTGAGGTTAAAACAGCACGATACAACGCCCTCAGCCAATCACCTCGGAGTTCGTTTGCACATAGGCCGAAGGTTGAAATCGGTCGCCAAATGATGAGACCGAAAGGCTCACTGCGAAGACGAGGTATGCCTGACGACGTATACTCTAATCGGGTGCAGTACCGGGCGTAGCAACAAGGGGGTGACTCGGGGCCGGAAGGAGATAGGACGTCAAGTCTCAAGTCGCGACTTATTCGGCAGGACTGACCACATCCTCAGGTTGAAAGACGTTAAAGTCCTAGTGAGAGGTGACGACCGCGTGGATCTAGGACCGATTAAACCATGGTTTCCAGCCCGCAGACCACCAACCATCCCAATCACCCACCCCTTTCATCCATTCAGTGCCGAGACCTGACTTGGGCTGAGAAAATCATCGTGCTGGTGAACACTGCTTCTGGTGACAAAATCGGCGCACCAACTTACCGGATAATTATCACGCCGTCCACTAACACCGATGGTGGGATCGTAACCCATAGCCACTCGGGTGCAGACGCTCAAGCCATTGCACCAAATAAGCTCGTCTGTGATGAATGTCAAAGCTGGTAATCTTGGACGGTGCGCGGTTGCGTAGCCATTAAATTGTCAAGGTAGTGCCCCTCCTCTGCGTCTGCTACGTCTATTTATTACTGTCTATGATGGATTCGAGAGCGAATTAAGAATGGTGGACACGTGTTTGTCGGGCTCCCTTCCCATGCAATTCGTACAACCCGCCTGTTCGCATGTAACAACCGTTGACATGTGGTAAAGAGCAATTGTAGTCTCCCACGTCTTTGGGGGTATTCTTTCTGTAATAGGTGACTCATTCTCCATAGTATACTTATATCATCAGAGGCAAGCAGATTATGCTTTAGTTGCTGCAACTATGTTCACATGTACTTTGCATGCTACCCACGACTTAACAACTTAGAAGTCCACGGTGACAATCGAACAAAGACACAATTTAACGTCACCTGAAGCAGTAATTATCTTCTCCGAGTCGATGAGGTTTGATTTTACAAATGTGGATATTTCTGCCTTCCTATGCTCTCGTGAGTACAAACGGCCGTAAATACTTGTTTGGGTAACATGACTTTGCTTTCAATAGAGAAGACAAAAGCACATCCATTTCGAAAGCACTTTTTCATAAAGAAATTTGGAGCAAATGCATGTCCATGAGAATCCGCCAAAGGTCTGATTATTCATTAGAGACATGCGAAGGGGCAAATGAAGCGTTGACAGTCGAAGAGTATACCAACAAATTGAAGTGAGTGTTCTGTGCAGAGAACACGCCAAATTGTTCCGACTAAATCGTTCTCTACCTTGAAATGCTTCTTTGTGATATTTAATCAGGGTTGACAGCTGAGAAGTTGGCTGCCCTAATTGAAAGCTCTCCACTGTTTTACCTTCTTCGATGTAATTGCAAAATTAGCCGAAATTTTAATAATTTNGCCTATAGAATGAGGCTCGTTGTATGTTCCGAGCTAGTTTTCGCTCTAAATTAGACATGAAAATGTCCGCTAGGAATGGCCCCAATGGACTGCCCATTGCTACACCGTCGATCTGTCGATACAGCCGCCCGTTGAACAAGAACTGTACATTCTTTGTACATATCTGTAGTAGTTCCCGCAGTTGCTCTGGTGGCAGGTGTGTTTCACCCGCATGCTCACTATGTCAATCGTTTCATCCACTGGCACGTTTGTAAACAGGCTCTGCACGTCAACCGGGATAATCTGTTTATTCAGTAGATTCTGATGCTTCAGCTCATCTACGAAGGAGAAAGTACCTTTGGTAGTGTAAACGGCAAGGTTTCGTCTGACTGGTTTGATTTGTTGCGCTAAACATTGGGCAAGTTTATGTTGAGGTGAATTCCTCATTGATAAAATCGGTCTTAATGGTACCCGTGGTTTGTGCAATTTTGGCAGTCCATATAGTCTGGGAATATGCGACCCTACAGGCCTAAAACACGCAGCCATGTTCTCGTCTATTATTTGCTCTTCAAGCAACGATTTTACCTTTTTCCCAATAAGGTCTTCTAGCGCTTTTGTTTCTTCGTTCTCATGGGCTTCCGAGGAAAATTTGCTGGAGTCACTCAATATCGCTTCCGTCTTTCTCACGTAATCAGTGTTGTTTATGATCGCGACCCCGCTTCCTTTGTCAAGTCTTGAGATGACGACTTCAGTAGTCTTACGTAGGGTAGTTAGGGCCGAGATGTGTTGTCTAGTTAGCAGTGAGCGTTGCGTAGTCGGGAAAGTTCTGTATTGATAGGCGATATCTACGAATTTCGCTTTCAACCATCTCACATTGTCCTTTGACGTCGGTGTTAATTCCGATAATGGGTGATATAGGCCTTCAAATTGAGCCTCAATCTCCGTCGGATCTATTTATCTTCTCGGCACACAAACCTTAAGTCCCAAAGAGAGGGCCTCGGCATGCAGTTTAGTCAGTTTCAAATTCGACATGTTAACAATGCAGTCATCTGGATTTACTGGAAACGATTCGTCTACGGGTTGTTTATTTAGCGACTTCATCAGATCAGCGTGGGACGATTGTCTTACCTTAGCTTGCAAGTTCAGAACGTATTTTGTAAACAATAACCAACACATTGGCCTCACCGAGTCAATCACATGCTGTGACTGGTCTAGCTGCCAGCGCGTATTTGAGAGTGAGTATTCGCATTCCTCTATTTTCGAGAGGGCGAGACGGTCAAGGTTTTTGTAGTGTGGGCCGCAGGGCATCTCTTCGGAGGGTGTTGCTTAGTTGACGAGGCTAAGTCCGAGTCTGTCTGCATGATTGTAGGAATTCATATCTTGTCTTTTCTCGGGTGATCTTGCATCTTACTCTGACATTTACCTCGTAAACCGAGTGTTTCACAACTCGAAGCAGCTCTCCGCCAGTTCACAGTGACCCAACGACTCGAAACTCTCTCGAAGTATTCCATTTGCGTTATAACTGTGTCAGTCGGAAGTGCGGTGTCTTTTGAGTCCGCCTTCTTACATGTTCATAGATAAAATAATCCCACACAGAATGGTATTTGTTCTCTTGAAAACTCAGCAGAGGAGAAAAGTGAGACGCCGACGAGCGAGAAAATAATGGTGGGAATATGCTTTTACGAAATCTGGCAAAGTAAAAGAGGCTAGCAGTGGGACAGGCCAGATGATTAATACGCCTATAGGAGTGTGTATCCATGCCCTCTGGAAGTTCAATCATAGATTCTGACGATGTCCACCGTGTGCTCCACAGCGGGGCAAGAGCAGGGATAGTGACTTGCGCGTGAGTTGGCTTATAGTAATAGTAGATGTGCTCAGCATCTACCGCCCTCTCTCCCCCTTCCCTGCCTGTATTCGGTGTCAAGACACAGTCACAAGAAAGTAGAAGGCACACCTGGCTGGCACAGCAGCAACCCGCATTTTGGCGTACCGCCACACCCCCTAGTCCACAGCGCTCACTGACCAGGATTTGACACGCAAAAAGAGAAGGGGACGGCTCGGATCACACGGAGTGGGAGTGCCACAGAAGCCACATTGAGAGGGAGCCATGGGGGCCTGACCGCCCGTCAACCAGTCAGTCAAACGCACCACCGGACCTCCTAAACGCGAGCACTAGTATTACACGCACAAGGGGGTAGGACGCTCGGATCTCGTATGCAGCAAAGGATCCACACGGAGAAGGGAATCGAAAAGCACACTTCTCACTTACTTGGGACGTGTCGGAGATGTGTATGCGTGTTATATGTACCTATTATAAAATGTGTGGTAACGTGGTTCTGTCTGCGGTGATTTGCCGCAGGTTTTCACGAAGGCGCATGTGACCGAATAGGCCCATGCGATGAGTGGATGCGTGCCGACAGGATGAGCAGTTGAGATGATTGCGGGAGTGTATATGTTGGTGCTCCGGGAAGAAGGGATGAGCAGTTGGACAGGCCGGATGATTGATACGGATACAGGAGTGTGCGTCCACGCGACTAAGGCACGACAGTTCGACCGTCGATTTCGGCGATGTTCACAGAGGGCTGAGAGCACACATGGTGGCTTGTGCGTGAATTGGATTATAGTGGCGATAGAATTACACAGCACCCACCACACTCCATTCTCTTCCCCCACCTGAGTTCGGTGTCAAGTCATAGTCAAAAAGACGGGAGTGATTCCATCCCTCTCTACTATAGAGGGTCAGGTTTCAGATAGTGATGCTGTACCCGAGCTCTGGGATTAAAGTTAAGTCCTCTTTACAGCCTTGACCAGCAGCACTCCCACAGGGCACCCGAGTAGGTAGTTATCGAGAAGGCCGCAGGTGACAACATCAATTGATGCCTACTAAAACGGTGTTTTCTCATATCAGGAGCCGAGCGGTCAGAACTGACTGAAGCAACTTATC